CCCCGCCCCCCCGGCAACAGCTGCTCTAACCACCAGACACACACTTAACCCAGCAGGCTCTGAAAGCCTCTCCCTCCATTTAGCACCCTTCAATAACAAAAGAAAGAGGAGCCTTTCCTCCGCAGAGCAGCACACCCGCAGGTGCCCTGATACCCAGCCACCTTGGAGCCCCTTCTGCCTGCAGGGTGACCCAGGCACAGGCATGACAGGTCCCCTCGGGCAAGGCAGGCTGCCTGAGGCTGCCTCTTCCACAGGGAATGGTTTCTTTTCAGAGGCCTCTCTGTTCAGTGCTTTTCCCACATACCATCTCCTCCCGCCATGACCTAGTTCATCAATTGCCTCTTTGTCCAGTAAAGAATCCCTGCAGCATCCCCAGCACGCCGGGAACGGCCCCTCGCATTATGCTGGTGAGTAGGAGACAGTCTTTATTTTCTTCTTTTAAATGCGTCTGCTTGTCCCCAGATTAGTGCTGACATGTAGGCTGGGGGAGAAAACGGCCTTTCAAAATGCCAAGATTTATTTGAAGGCTTCCTAGGAGTCAGGGAGGAAGGGGGAGAGGGTGGGAGAAGGACAGGGAGCAGGAAGGGTGGTCTCAGAGGCCAGCCCCAGGCAGCAGGGCAGGGGCATCATCGAGTCACCAGCAAGGTTTAGAGCACCCAAAGCCATGCTTTTGTCTGAGCAGGCAAGGCACTGGGGCAGCTGCCCGTGTTCCTGCTGGTCCCAGCTCAAAGGGAGACCAGGCTCGGGCACAGGAGGAGGCTTGTCCCCTTCAAGGCTGCCCTACCTGCAGAGAGGGGAGATGGAGCCACTGGCTTCCACCGCCCTCTGAGGAAACTCCCCAAGCTTTCAGCTGTGCCCACAGCGAGCAAGGAGCTGTCTGTACACAGCAGCCAACATGCACCTCCCAGTTCCCCAGGGCAGCAAGAACACTGAGGGAGCAGCTCACAGGCAGCTGGGAAAGGTTTGGATGCTGTGAGCTGTAATTGCAGGGAACCCCCTCCTTGCCAGATTAAAACCATGAAATTAGCAGTCATTTCGAAAAGCAGACTTGGGGCACCGTCTTCCTCTGGGCTTTCCTCATCTGCAGACACCAGAGGCACCGACACATCACAGGAAAGGGTCCAGCTCCCCAGCAGGGCTGGCTGGGGCTGCCCGTGCTTGCTGCCATGCCACGGGCTTGACGAGGTTCCAGCAGCTGCCAGGGCTGGCGGAGAGGCCATAACTTGCCCTGTGCACGCACCCTGCAAAAGCAATTGCCCAGCCAAAAGCGTGGCTCCAGCCCCACCGCCACAGCTGGCTACAGCCCGGGGAAGGGCCCTGGAGGAACAGGCAGGCATCGGGGGGTTTATTCCCTCTGTTCAGATATGCAGCACCCACAGCTCCCAAGTAAGCCACCACCCACCCGGCAGACCAGCTCTCCCAGATGCATGCACAGCTGGGCACAGCCCCAAGCATCTGCCCAGGCCCAGGCTCTGCTGCAAGGATGCAAACGCCAGGCTTCAAACCCCTCTTCTAGACAGCAAATTTTCCTGAAAAAAGGGAAGAGCTCTTCCTCCCCTCACCTGCCAGAGAGCCAACCTGCCTCCCCTGCCATTGTTTCCAGGACTTTTCTTCCCATCATCAGGAAAGCAGAAAGTTTCTCCCCAGCCTCCTTTGCCAGTAAGTGGGAGGCTGGACTGGCCCCAGGAACCTCTCTGGACTAGGCGAACCAGTGTCTGATGGCTGGAGCCTTACCCTGGGGAGCAGCATATAAAAGCTTACCTGGTGCTTACTAGCGTGCCATGCAAAAACCTTCCGTGAGTGGGATCACTCTGTAAACAAAATATCTTTGCCAGGACAGCAGGGTACCAGCACTGAGTGCCAGCACTGGGGTCCATAAACTGGGGAACCCAACCCTCCTGGTGGTGAAGGGGGTGTGTGCTATGTATGTGTGTGTGCACACACGTGTGCAGGATTTGGCCTTGGGCAGTGTCGTGGTTTAACTCCAGCCAGCAACTAAGCACCACGCAACTGCTCAGTCACTCCCCCTCCCACCCAGTGGGATGGAGGAGAAAATTGGGAAAAGAAGTAAAACTCGTGGGTTGAGATAAGAACAGTTTAATAGAGCAGAAAAGAAGAAACTAATAATGATAATGATAACACTAACAAAATGACAACAGCAATAACAAAAGGATTGCAATGTACAAATGATGCGCAGTGCAATTGCTCACCACCTGCTGATCGACACCCAGCTAGTCCCCAAGCGGTGATCCCCCACCCCCACTCCCCTCAGTTTATACACTAGATGTGACATCACATGGTATGGAATACCCCGTTGGCCAGTTTGGGTCAGCTGCCCTGGCTGTGTCCTGTGCCAACTTCTTGTGCCCCTCCAGCTTTCTCGATGGCTGGGCATGAGAAGCTGAAAAATCCTTGACTTTAGACTAAACACTACTTAGCAACAACTGAAAACATCAGTGTTATCAACAT